TCCTGATTCTTCAGAAGCTGAAGTAAACAGGGATGGTGTTCTATTTTCAAGATGTTGGCATGAGGGGCGACAAATTTGGAGAAATGGGTTGTCAGGATTTGGATGGTAAAGATTCTGCTGTATACTGTTACTCCTTTATATTTGCTGTGCAGCGCCCAGTTTTAAGCATTGTGGTTTGTTTGTTTTTTGCTGTACTTATAAATTATCAGTCATTCCAGAATGGTAGCATGGAACCCATCAGTGACTTGCAGAATTGTTATGATTAAGTTGCCAGGCTTTTGACTGTGTAGTGTTGTGGGCTGGGCAATTCCATGCCAGGGGTTGAAATGTGGAAATCATTTGAGTCAAGGATTGGCTCGACGACTGACTCTAATGAAACATTTAGAATCTCCTGATGTGTGATGATTGCATCATGGGTTATAATTCTGCAGCTTTGGGGGCTATTTTCTGGCTTTGCATGGGCCCTCGCTGGACTCCCGGACAATACAACTTGACACTGATTTCTGGGTTGTCTCTTTGTCTCCTTTCTACAGTAATGGGGAAAGACGAAAAAGGACGTCTTCGGTCTGCAGCAATGACTCCGTAAATGCCGGTGGAGTCCCTCTTACCCCACGCCGGATCTCCTGGCGACAGAGAATCTTCCTCAGGGTAGCGTCCCCCATGAAGAAGTCTCCCTCAGCGATGCAAAATCAAGGTCTGTGTCCATCGAGAGAGCCATCTGTGGAAATATCTCTTGATTGCCCTCCTCTTAACAGTAGGAGTTTCCATTTTGTGTTTCAACAAGGGATATGACTGGGCTCTATTACTGGATTCACTTTGTTTTGGTACGTTGCAAGTATTAATACAACTGAGTAGATTTTTAGTACTGACGTTCTCTTACCTGTCATAAGTAATGGTCCAGGGTGGAGAGAAGTGATTGGCTAAATATTGGTCTCCTTTAATGAGCATAGTACCCAACTCCACGGTATTTTCCAGAACAAGATAGTGTGACGTGGTTATCTGTGGACGTTTTGGCCCCAGACTCCATGTCCCCTTGAACACATGGCTGCCACAGATCCACGTCTACTCCCACATTGCCCCAGTAGGATTTAGCTTGTGAATATTCATGATAGGCTGCTATGAGGCTCAATGCTTCCCTTACCAAGCAGAAACAGCTGAATTTTAGGGGGAAGGGCCGAGCTGAGTCCAGTGCTATGATGTCATTTGTTGTCTTCAGCTAAAAATGACCGGGGAAATACAGGAACAAGTACACAGACGGGCTGTTTAGTCCGCTTTCGGCCCGCCTCAGAAACGGATTTTACCTGCGTGATCACACGGTCAACATCTGCCTCCCGTCCCCAGCCGTCGCTTTCCGGCTCAAAACAGCTTTAATCCGGAGTATTTTGATACCAGGTCACCAAGTGGTGTTTTCCGGATTCTCCGGTTCCAGCCGCATTTCCCCCCTGTGTGATGGCGCCTCCGGTGTCGAGCCACTTCCGATTTAAACCCCCTCCCTGCTCGAAAGCTGCCTGAGGCTTCCGCTTTTCACCTGCCATTTTAAAAAAAGCGTTGGTGGTGTGCGCATAGACGGAGGTCCGCCACAGGGTTATTAAAAACAATGTTTAAATGGTGCCTAGTTTTAGCCTTTAGACGAGTTCGGGATCTCAGGGAGGCCATTTTCGTCAGTAAACATTTAAAGGGAAGTGTTCCTTCAAAGTTTAAAGGGGAGTGTTACAGCAGTCGGGTTGAAGTGGAAATCGCTGTTCTGTGCAGGCGCGAAACTTTTAGTTCCACAGATGGCCGCCTGTGCACACGGCCAAAATGAGAGAAAAAAACAACTGCGCAGCGATCCAGCGCAAGGAGGTGAGTGTGATCGCGATTCTTTAGGTTGAAAAAGCCGGAGCAATTTAAACCGCTCCCAGCACGCCGTCTGACCGCACCCAGTCATTTAATCTGCAGTCTGGATCTTAACTCTTTTCGACTTCTAGAAAGGTAACGAAGGCAGCAGTGTAGATGAACTGGGCTTCAGTTGATAGCTTTTAGTGCACCTGGAACCAATTCTTGCCCTTTGCAGTCTTTCCGATACAAAGCTGGAACTTCAGGTCAGAGTAGCCTTGCCCTGGTCGTATGCATCATTTTCTGTTGGTGATCCTCACTGGTTGAGTGAGTGAGTAAAGGCAGTGCACATGCAGGGGACACCAGATCTTAGTGAATAAGGACTTTGCTGGGGAAAGTGTGTGTGATCGCAGGCTGTGGTTATCACACCTTCTCTCACAAACTGGTTGAGACCGTACCCTGCTTAAGGAACCAGTTCCCAAGCTGGCTCCTGCATCGTCTTTGGATGAGAGGCCAAGTGGAAGATACCCAGTGACCGAGCTCATGCCAGTCTGATTTCTTCTCTGGGTACAGTACTGACCACTTTTGCCGTTGACAGACTGCGTTCATAGCAGTAACAAATGCTAAATCAGAGGTGGCACTAATTGCTTCTCTTAAGATGTTTAGATCCCACCTTTCCTTGGGGTTCAAGGTGGCTTACAGTAATCGTTAAAAACGTTTTCAGTTGAAAACAACAATTAAAATAGCAAAACCCCACATTTCTCCCCCTGCCAAAGTTGCCTGCCATTCAGACTCCCTCCAGAGCCCTGGCAAACATGCAGGCCTTGCTGTGCCTCCTGAAGATCTCTCCGGGGGGGCGGCTTATGTCTTGAGCCGCAGAGCCACAATGGGAAAACCCAGGCTCTGGCCAGGGGGGCAGCCTAAGTGGTGGTTTAGCCACCAGATAGCCAGTTTGGTGTAGTGGTTAGGAGCGCAGACTCTAATCTGGAAGAACTGGGTTTGATTCCCCAATCCTCCACATGCAGCCGCTGGTGGGACCTTGGATCAGTCACAAGTTCTCTCAGAGCTGTTCTCTCAAGGGCAGTTCTCGAGAGAGCTCTCTCAGCCCCACCTACCTCACAGGGTGTCTGTTGTGGGGAGGGGAAGGGAAAGGAGATTGTAAGCTGCTCTGAGACTCCTTCGGGTAGTGACAGGCGGGGTATAAATCCGATTCCCTTTTTCTTCCTCAAGTAGATAGAGATACAGATATTTTAAATGTTTTAATGCCTTATTGTTCGCCATCTTGGGGAACCTATTTGAGTGGAAAGGTGGCATACAAGTGTTATAAATAAATAAACCAAAGTTGGGATCCTCAGTGCAGCCCGATGGGTTTCAGATAACGCCTATAAATACTGCTTATACGATTGCAACCTAATGAGCATGCTACTGCTGGTCATTTTGCAGCGCTGCTAATGGTCATTGTGCAGTACAACAGGAGTAAAAAGCAAAAACACAACAAAGTCCATGCCCCAAACAATGCTCCCTCTAAGCTGTGGAGTCTTGTGAACAAAAATTCTACGTTGTGAGCTACTGGCATTAAAGCTGTGAGCGAGCCATTTGGTTCCTGCATAAATTACTTTGCCCTGGAGCCATCCTTCCTGAGTTAAGACAAAAAATGTGTGAGCCAGAGGCTAACAAACTGTGAGCTAGCTCATACTAATTCAGCTTAGAGGGGACACTGGCCTCAAATACCTTGCAGTCCGCAGTGGGGAGGGATGAGTGAGAAAGGGAAGGGTGGACTTGAGGAGTGGGACATACGTGTGGTTGTTCTGTTCAGTAAAACCATGAGTGGTGTGAGCAGGATGAGCGATCTTGTATATTCCTGCCAGTGCGATAGAACTGTGAGATGGCAAGTGGGGGTTAATCCGTGGCTAACGCACAGTTCCTTGCAGATGGAGGGGACGGGAGCGAATTGTTACCCCTGTCTCCCCTTGCGCCATCTTTGGAAGAAGACCCCCTGGCTTCCATATTGCAAAACGATGATGCCCAAGACAGGACTGGGGAGAAGAAGAACTCTGAAGAGCTGCAGAGCCTGTGGAGAAAAGCTATCCATCAACAAATACTGCTGCTTCGGATGGAAAAAGAAAACCAGAAACTGGAAGGTTAGTAAAGGTTAAGAGTGCAGCTCCATTGTGTCTTTGTCTTGGTGGCGGCAGAAGCCCCGTGTGCAACTAATGGTACGAACCCAGCCTGAGGATCCTTCCGACAGCTTTTAAGTGGTTCTTCTGTTGGAGGAAGTGCCACTTAGGTTGGAGGAAGTCTTCAGAAGTTTGCTCAGCCGAGGGGCAGGATAAAGAAGTAGGATCCACCCCAATAAATCTCCTGTGGAATCTGCACCATATTTTATTGGCTAATTCCATTTCACCTGCCGAATCCATCTTGCTTCCAGGCAAGACAGTTGGATCTTAGCTGGGAACCCTACGACGAGCTCAGTATCTTCACCTGTGCTTTATGTAGTCCACCCCCACCCACCACCACAATATGAACTGAGAGTGAGCCCCAGAACGTACGACCAAAATCCTCTGCAGCGTGCAAATTTTCCACGGCAGGTGAAGTGAAGTGGGAAGCTTTCTTAAAGGTGGGCATCTTGAAAATCGCTGTCCTGGCACCAGGGGTCATTTCCTGCGGGAGCGCACAGGTGCGGAGCTCCGGCACTAAGGAGCCCAGGGGGCGGGCACATGCAACAAGCCCCACCCCCTGCTCCCAGCAGCCCTGAGTTGGGCCACGAGGAGCAAGAAGCAGCCAGGTAAGTTGCAGAGCCCCCCTGGCCCTCCTTCAGGTAGAAGCTCTCCCTCCTCTGTGAGGACAGATCTGCACGTTCCCCCCCCCAATAGCTAGCAATCCAAAACAGTCCAGTGGAACCTAAGCGGTGGGTGTTGCCTTCTGACACACTTCCGGTGATGTCAGGGGGTGTGGCATATGCAAATAAGTTATGCTAATGAGCTCCTGCACCTCTTTTTCTACGAAATGACCCCTGCCTGGCACACTGTGTCCATAATTGTAGAAAAGAGCAAGAGTCCAGTAGCACCTTAAAGACTAATAAAATAGGTGGCAGGGTGTATGAGCTTCTGTGAGTCACTGCTCACTCTCCTTCAGGTACCTGAGGAAGTGAGCATGAGAGCTCGTGCCCTGCCCACCTGTTTTGTTAGTCTTTAAGGTGCTACTGGACTCTTGCCCTTTTTCTACTGCTACAGACAGACTAACATGGCTACCCATCTCGATCTGTGTCCATAATTGTTTGGGCTTATATGCCACACTGTGTCCCATCACGCTGTCCTGGCACACTTGTGTCCACAATTGTTTGGGCCATCAACTCCAAATTCATGGCTGTATCACTTAAAATTGAATTACTGAGACATTTTAGACTATGAGTTTGCTCTTTTCCGCACCCAGGTTACTGAGGGCCTCATCCTTGCCTTGTGAAATTACTCCCTTCTCTCTCTCTCTCTCTCTCTCTCACACACACACACACACACACACTCTGTCTCTCACTCACACACACACACACACGCTCTCTC